GCCAGGCACAACAAACACCACATCTGGGAATCACTACTGAGGACAGCAACCCATGCAAAGGAAAATGTTTAAACTGTGGTGATGGCATCATACCAGGATAACTATCGATCATAACTGACTTCTACTAACTAAAACTAAGGGTACTACTAAACTATCTAACTATACACAATAAAATTCCAGAAAGACTGAAATAGAGAAGCGTAAGGTAAAATACCACACCCAACGCTACAATCTAATCACAGACAGTGAGAAGGAACCAAGGAGGGTCGGGGGGTGCTGCCCTTAAATAGCTAGGGGAAGGGCTATGGGGCCAAAGTGTGCGAGCGCTGACCCACCCCCCACAGGTACTGCTAAGCTTTGGTGCACTGGGCACGTGCACTTCTGAGTGGACTACACGTCTGCAACCACTTGAAGAACCAACATTTCAGAATGCTGCATAATAGCATTGTCTGTGAACAAATATATTAAGTTGGCATGGCAACCGAATGTGGTAAATATCCAGCAGTCATAAAATTAAGCGAGTCAGAATAATAAACATGAAACATGAAAAATTCAATAAATGCTATTGAGTCACAGCTCTCAATTATCACTCCTGTTTTCATTTTGTACTTTGGAATAAAATGAAGCAGCTTTGTTTGTTAAACAGATTTCACTCCAAATACCTTCAACACAACCCTAACTCATCTAATTTCCCTCTGCCTTTATTTTAATCAATTTGAGAAAATGGAAATTAAAGGCTTGGAAATCTGTATTGGCACTCACCCTCACTCCCCTCAATAATATTCATGAATTGTACATAATTGATTTTCTGTCTGAACAGCATCTCTCTCCTTTAAGGTTCTTTTTGTGAGAATGACTGATGCTTTTACCCTTGAGGATGACTGCTATGGTTTAAACATCTTCAGTGTTGTACAGTAGCAGCTGTACTACAGTGCTCATGTAATTGTGAGCAGAAGGTGAATTTTATAATTTTTTTCTTCCTCTTTCATGGGGTACAAACTTCACCCAATGTCTTTCCCACTCCAAAATTTAAAATCTTTGGGAGTCCTTTCAAAATGAAAAAGTAAACAGGGGAGCAACACTCTGAAATGGTTTCTGAGGTAAGGTTCCCATGGGAGAACTTCCCAGAGGTCTGCCTACTAGAAGCTTTTTGTATATTTTGCAGTGTGGCAGTTGCTTTAAATTTTTTTTGTTTAAGAAGTCCAGATATTCAAGCCAGAACACGACTGGGATATCTACCATAGATGTTTACATAAGCCCCAATTCAGCAAAACACTTAAGCACATGCTTAAGTCCACCCATATTTAGCAAAGCATTTAAGCACGTGCTTAACTTGAAGCATATGCTTAATTCCCATTGAAGTCAATGGGATTTGAGCATGTGCTTACATCCCCTGCTGAACTGAAGTCATACAAACAATATAGGGATGGCTGCAACAATGACTCAGATTTTATAACTTCTATAAAGGTGGCAGCTTGATATGAAGCCGTATGATTCAAGAAACAGAATGGTTCTCCAGTAAAGTGAAGGATGCAGATCTTCCCATTAGAGAGCTTGAATGTACAGGACAATGTTGAAACTATGCATTTATCAAAGACAATTAAATGCTGCAACACAGAACAGACAATATGGGAAACTAATCTAAAATCAAAGTCTACATATTACTGGGAAGCAAGAAATCTTAAAGCCCTGTTTTAGGAAATAGCTCTAGTTATTTGCTACATTGGGATGCCTCCTGGATTTCCCAGGAACTTCTCTGGGGTTGTTTTAACGGTCCAGGCACTCCTGTAAGGAAACCTCGTATCTCCAATATTCTGAGTCAAATTCTACTGACCTCTCTCTAGTTGCCCACCAGGAATACAATTTTAAAATGTCTCAAGTGGTTGGGAAGCTTATATTTGGAATAAATGTTCAATATTTCAACATCACAAAAGATTAGGCATGAGGTGCCCCAAGGTTCCACATGAGAACTAGTGTTACTTTATGTATTTCTCAGTGAACTGGAAAATGGAGCGAACAACAAAATTTACAGATGATGCAAAATTTAGGTTAGTCAAGATTTAAAGAAGACTGAAAAACTTTCAAGGGGTTTAAGAAAAGTAGAGGAATGGGCAACATGTTAGCAGGTGAGACTCAATATTGAGAAATGCAAGGTAATGTACACAGGAAAGAATAAACTGAAACATTCAGCCACATTGTTGAGTTCTAAATTAAATGTAACCATTTAGGAAAAAGACAAAGACAGTGCATGACAACTTCTGTTCAGTATGCCGTGATGGTCAAATACGCAAACAAAATGTTATGGTGCACAAAGACTAGGCCAGAAAACAAGATGGAAAATATTATAGTACTTTATATAAATCAATAGCTTACTCTCAACTGGGATATTGCATTCAGTTCTAGTTGCCTTAGTGCTTTGCAACCTTAATCATCTTTTTATAGTTTTTTGTGTGTGGAATGTGTGTGTAAATATTGTATCTGTCTTGACCAATTTAATAAGGAACAGGTTAATTCTTTGTAAGGAACAAAGGGTAAGCTTAGTAAATTCGTCAATCGCTTCTGGAGACTGCAGAGTTATAAGGATGTCCCTACAGAAATAAGACAAACATGTAGCACTAAAATGCCACCCAACAAGCCATAACAAGAACCAGCTTTTTGTTTTTAATTAAAAGCACAACAAAATATTTTTTTCATGTCTCATTCACTTATTTGTTGTTGTTATAGAATCAAAACACAGAATTTTTCCTTTTAATGAAAAGCAGAAGTAGTTTAACCCCCACCCCCTTCCTCCTATTATTTTTTTTAAAGGAGACGTGTAAAAGCCCAGAAAACTGTCCTTTGTAATGGTGCCAAGGCAAATTTCAATCCTTTATGCAATGCGGTATCGAGGCAACAATATTTGGTAAGTGTAGGAAGAAAGTTTCAAGTAAGTGCCTTGAATATCTCAACCGCCTAAGTGGCTGATCCGAGGCGGTCTACCATTATTGCCCCTTCTCTGAACATATTTATGGGTAGTCTGGCCAAGGAATAACAATGAAAAATATATCAGATATCCATTTTACCATTGAGTTACTGGAGAGAGAGAGACTATATTAAAAAATTAAAAGGAAAGACTCAAAAAAACCTTGTAAGATGAGTAACCTTGTAAGATTGAACTCATTCAACAAAGTCTCAATTGTTGATTAACTCACTGGGGCTAAGAATCAGCATCTTCCAGTGCTAATATATTAACAAATTGCAGAAGCAGCTCTGGACTTGACGGTGCAAAAATCAATGGGAATTTGGCTTCTACCTCAGGTCTGAAAATGGGACTTAGGATCCTACGTCACTTCAGACATTTCTGAACATTACCCAATGCTTAGAAGAACAAGTACAATTTTGGGGAACTATTTTACATGAAAGATATAAAAGAATTAGAAAAGGAATGGAAGTTGAGTGGACATTACTGAGATGTAAAGTAGAAGATAAATACTGAAGGTGAATGCCATAAAAACTGCTAGAAAGGTATAAACTGAAACTAAGAAAGGAATGGGTATTAAGGAAGTTCCTAAGAAACTTTTTATTCAAGAGGATATGTGTGGAATGAACTAACAAAGGCACCAACAGAACTGCAACTATTAAGATATTAATACGTTAAAAATGAGTTAAACACCTACTGGAAGGAAAAAACAGCTTAGGGCAGAAGACTAGGCAAACAGTTTGACATATCTAGAAGAGATGCTTGAAAACACTATTTAATAGTTGGAGAGGGACCTAGGACTCAAGAAAGCTGGGTTCTGTTCCAGACTCTGCTACTCTCATTATACTACCGTGGTCAAGTCACTATATGTCTGTGTCTCAATGGGCCAGCCCCCATTTGCAAATAGGACAATAATACTTGCTAATCATTATGAATTTTTTGAGATGCTCTGACGATGATTATCCCGAAATGTTACTGTACTAGGAAGTACAGATACAGGAACAGAAAGAATGAGCCATGGGCACTTTGGCACCGAATCAGGATCTGAAACACTGCACAAGTGTTTACAAGTCAGTACAGAAAAAGCAGTAGAGACAAGGGGAGATTCTACAAACTCATCTCTCCTTACATCAGGTTGGTATTCTTTCTGTGAGTACATGATCAAAGACTGGGATATGTGGATTTGTGCAAGCTCTACTACTTCTGTATTTTCCTGCATGTTTCAATTTACAACATGGTTCTAATGCAGGCAAATCACTTTGCATTTCAGTGATAATTTTATGTAACAATTCTGATAACCAGGGCCAGCTCCAGGCACCAGCTTGGCAAGCAGGTGCTTAGGGCGGCCACTCCGGAGTGGGGCGGCAGGTCCAGCTATTCGGCGGCAATTCGGCGGACAGTCCCTCACGCCCGCTCGGAGCAAAGGACCTTCCGCCGAATTGCTGCCGCAGATCGCGATCGCGGTCTTTTTTTTTTTTTGGCTGCCTGGGGCCAGCCCTGCTGATAACAATATTAGATTAATTTCCCCAACCTGTACATTACAAATAGTGAGCTTTGCTATGGAGCAGACTGAGGAAAAATGAACATTAGGAATCTCTGATTTCACTGACCATGTCCAGAATAATCTTAGCAGTGCTAATCATATGGAATCATTTATGTACAATACTCTAACACAATGAATACATAAGATCTGCAATAAACATTATTTTTATCCCAAGTGTTGTCAAATTATAGCTCTCTTAACAGAAGTCATGAAATAACAGGTTATAGTAATACCAGAAACCTCCATTCAAAACAATATTGTTGCCTAAAAAGCATCATTTAACAGCTAAAATAGCTGAAATACCATCTTGAAACAAAGAGCATTGGATAAGTATTTGCCCCTGGGGTTCAGACAGTTTAATTCTCTTTTATTAACAAAAACAAAAAAGAAAGCTAGCTGAAAATATGGTAGACGATTTTCTCTTGAAGCAAGATATTATTGTCAAATGTCGAGTTTGTTTGCCCAAGGAAAGAAATCTAGTAGGACAGTACTGTTTACCTGTTCCTGTGTCTCCAACTCCTTGTGCTGCAGCTTCTTTTCTGTAGACCGTACCTGATTGCAATAATTTTCCATTTCATCTTGTAAAGCCTGAAACAATATCAATCAATACAAAACACACGTTAAAAATTAGAAGATGGAAGGAAAAAAAACCCATATACATCTCTATCCCGATATAACATGATCTGATAGAACACAAATTCGAATATAACGCGGTAAAGCAGTGCTCCGGGGGGGCAGGGCTGCGTGCTCCAGCGGATCAAAGCAAGTTCCATATAACGGGGTTTCACCAATAACGCGGTAAGATTTTTTTGGCTCCCGAGGACAGCGTTATATCGGGGTAGAGGTGTAATTGCGTTCAGCTGGTAGCGAAAGTCCTGGGTATTGTATACTCTTCAATCTTCGTTTTCAACAATATCACGAGAGCCACTGACAAACTTATTCTCACTTAACCCCTTACTACACAGGTAGTTCCGCTGATTACAACAGGACTACCAATGTAGGAGTAAGGGTAACAGAATTGAGCTCTCTCATCTATTTATAAGTATTGCTAATGTTCATAAAGTTCCCCTTACTCTTTTTATTTGTACAACCTGTGTTTTGTTTGTAATGATTTCATGGTGCACCAGTACTTTGACTTAAGGGGGGCGGGGAATCTGCTCTCTCAGGAACCATGTCTTGCATCTGCAGTGGAAATGGACTCAAGGTTATCTAAACTGTAAGCTCTTTGAGGTAAGGCTTTACCTGCTAGCAAAGCACCTAGCACATATATATACAAATGAGAAATACAAATCCAATAAATAATGATTGCTAATAACAATGCTAATTTAACTGATCTTTGTCTTGCTCTTAAATCATCACAATTTTTAATAAAATCAGAAGAGGCCCATTACTTATTTGGTTTGTTATTATTTATTTGTATTGCTGGACCTCAGGCCCCAACTCTCAGGCCAAGGCTCCAAAGTGCTAGATGATGTAAGAACACACAAAAAGACAGTTCATGTCCCAAGGAGGTTATAATCAAAATATGATAATTCCAACAACTAAACAATTAACAAAAAGGTTTGTTAACGTTATCGTTAAATGTTTTAATGCACACTGAATATTTACTTACTAAAGCTTAATTATAGGCCCCCGTTTGAATCTGGGCATTGGTAACCCAAGAGTTGACTTGAAGCAAGGTGCACAATGCTTATGCTAGAGAGACACCATCACAGAGGTGGTGATGGTAGCAGAAGAGAAGCATTTAGGGTTATCTGTAGAAGACTAGGAACTGGGAACACAACTAGTGTATCAGCTGGAAAGTACAGAGCAGGGTCAGGACTGTCTCTGAAAATGGAAATTTAGATCTGACGATACATAACAAATCTAATTATAATGACTTAAAAATCTAAACAGCATGGGCATGCTACTCTAAAATCTGCTGTAAAAGAGAGATCAGCAAAATTGTGTTCCCTTAATGCATTTTGCAGAGCATGTGGTATGATATCACATGCTACTGAACGTGGAATACCCATAAATAAATCGGAATAATTAAAGGTACTTGCAGTACTAAAGATTTAACAGAAAAAAAATCTCTCTCTTTTCCACAGCACTGAAATACTGTAGTCTAAATCATTTACAGCATAAAATTGCTATTCAGATAAGATAAGAGGACTAGTTATGATAGATCTTGCACATTGTTTTGAAGTGATGCCAGGCGTTAACTTTAAAGTATTAAAGCTATAAGACCATTACATATTCTGATGCCAAAAAGTTTAACCAGACCCAGGAATGAACTTTAAGCCTGCACAGTGGCTTTTACACTATCATTTTTGCTAGACAATGTTGAAAACCAGTCTTTGTAGCCAGTCTTCTGTGCTCAACACGTCTTGAAGTTCAATACATTGTATTAATATCCCGAAAAAAATTATTCATGTAACGTGTGGTTTGTTTTTGTATTTCTGATATGGCAATTTAAAAATAGAGCTATAACTTATGATTCAAATAATTATGTCATACTATTACATGAATTTGTAAAAAGAATGGGGTCTTTTCATGTACTAGAAAATCAATTGAGACAGGCCATGGACCCAATGAACTCAATGAGTTTTGTTATTGATTTCAATGGGATTGAGCATATAGAGAAATTTGTTTCCCTTTTTACTAAAATCAGGAATGTCCAATAGCCATATTTGTATTAGCTGTCTGAGATCCTACAGGACCCACCTTCTACCTCCATTTTCAATTGAGCAACTAATATCATCCATCTAGCATGTCATGGTGAAAAAGAGAATTAGGGAATTGTTTGTACACTGGAAGGGATCCTCAGCTGTGCTGATGCCATCCACTCACCACGTTTATTTCCTTCACTCAAAGCTGCCAACCTTCCTCTAACTGGAAAGTTTCATTCATTTGCTTGGTTTCTGTGGTATAAAAAAGCATGCGTGTATACGGTTTTGTATTATTTTATTTTCGTCTTTGAGAAAAAACAACAACTTTCATTGGATTCCACTAGGAAAGTCCGGAGCAAGTAAATACATCCACCAAGACCGTACTGATAGTAAACACAGCAACAACTTGGCACCATTGAAGAGAACTTGTAAAGCACCATCTCATCCATCAATTTCCCCCTTTTGTCTTTATTATTTTCTTAAAGCACACAAATATATTGTGCAGAGGGCCTACAGTGAAAAGTACATGACAATCTGAGGATATGTGGGTTTAACTATCATACATTTGCTTCTTAAAATGTTGTAAATTCTATTCTATTACATAGATCATTACCATTAAACAATTATCCAACATAGAATATATTGTGTGAGTTTATAGACAATTCCCATTATCTATTATAACTGTCAGTCCTTAACATGCTTGGGTGTTGGGACGGTGGAGAGACATTTAACTCCTTTGTGAGCGTCTGGTGAAGTCATCTAGCACTTAAGGTTTCTGAGCGGGGTAGAGTGCGAGCCAAGTCCAATACTGGTCACTTCACAGCAGCCATTGTTGTGTAGCAAGGCTGTTCTCTGAATGATTCCATTAGTTCTCCTCGTTGCATGGGAAGTGAAGCATCCAGAAGGAAACACCAAATCAAGATAATCAGCATTATATCAAAGCCCATCCAAGAAAAGAAAAGAAAAAGTGTGGGGTTGGAGGAGTGTGATCCTTGCATATCAATATCTCCAGAGAATAAGAATTACAGATAAATAATTTCCCTGTGCAAGATTCCCATTCCTACACAGTAAGAACCTTGCTGGATATCCCAAAAGAAAACAGAGTGTAAAGCTGCATAAAGTGTCAATGAAAAGGGCACTTCCACAGCATAGACAAGGAGACTTTTATATCTAGTCTTACTTTTCTATGCCGAAGGAAGATCGCTCCAACAACATTACTCTTGGACTATAGTTAATAAGATTCTTGAGACACAAACCCTTCAAAATGCTCCACAGACTATTGATGCTAGAGACTTGAAACCTATCACCTTCTGATTACCTCATCATTGTGAAATATGAAATGTTTGGTTCGATAATTGGCAAGAGGATTTTAGTTAAAATATATACTCAGATATATGCAGCCCCCTGTTATTCAAATGAGAGTAATGTCCCTCCTCCTCTGATATTTAGTAATTACACTCAAAATTCCTTTGAATGCCTAAAACCTCATATTTAAGGAGAACAGCTTGAATGCAATGTCTGCTATTCAATGCTGCCAAGTTTGTATTGAATTTTGAAGCCAGGTTGACTGACTTGCAAGGAAAAAAGAGAAGGGGGCGGGGAGAATGTTATCCAAGGTTTTACCGAGTGTGCAGCTCAGGGTAGCTATGAATCCAGGGTTCACAAAGCTCTTCAATCTACCTCTCCTCATGCAGGATGCACTTAAAATGTATTAAACAGTTGACAGCTTATCCTGGGAGCACGGTATAACCTCTCTTTTGGAAAATTAAACATAGGATTAGGGTTCAAAAGTCATTATTCAGCCAAAAAAATGGCTATACTGCACTCACCCCAATTACTCAGTAACACAACTGGGCATTTGTTTTATGGAAGTATAAGCTTTTATGCTAAATCTTCAAAATGCAAAGTTCTACCCATGGAATGCCAATGCCTACGTTTAATGACTGATGGGATGGACAACACAGTATAGCGTAAAAATTAAAAAGTCCAGCCTTAAGTTTTGAACCACAAAGGCAGTTTCCATTTTTTCCAAATGGAAAACAAAAGCGTAACAAATTAGGATTTGTCTGGACACACAAAGTTTGCTGCAAACTCGGGTGTGACTCTACCCACACTAGCCTGCCATGTACTAACTGTCCATGTGGACTCTGCTGACATGCGTTAACAGTTTGTTAATCAGTTAAACTGTTCAAGGTACAACATTCATCCCTTTCTCAGCTTTTCGGAGTTGGCTTACATCACTGCTGTAAAGACAGTATTTTTTCAGTTATACTGGCTTTCAAATGCCATGTAAACATGTTTGCTGTTGAAAGTCTACACCATACCTGACCTTGGAAGTGCTTTGTGTTGGCCTGAGAACAAAGAAATGAAATGTTTTGCTTTCCAGCCCAGATATCCTACACTTTGAAAAGCACTTAAACATGTAAATGAGATAATAAGCTTTACTGCAACAATGTGGGTGAACTACAGCTGCGGAAAAAGGCACATTCATTAGATTTATTGATAAAAATGGGAAAAAAACTAAAACATTTTATATTGCAAATGTTTTTGAGTTTTAACTAACTGTTCATAAGATGCAAAGAACACATTAAATTGATAGTCACGTGCCTGATGGAAGAGAGGAGGGACTGTTTTGTGGTTAAGGTGCTGATCTAGGACTCGGAAGATCTGGGTTTAATTCCTGGCTCCACAGGCTTCCTTTATTACTTCAGGCAAGTCACTCAATGTCTCTGTAGCTCAGTTCTCCTCCAACTGCGAAATGGGGATATTAACACTGCTTTTGTTAATATCTGTGAGACACTCAGATACGATGGGGATTTTAGCAGATAGATGGAATGTGTGAACAGAATGTTATGGCTTGGATAGGTTTTATTTTTAACCCCCACAAACATGGCAGAGCCAACAAAACTTTTAACTAAACTTTCATTTGGAAGAGCA